TCAACTGAGAGAAAAAATAATTTTACAGGAAACACTTTCTTCAGCACACTGATAAAATTGACTGTTCCAACAAAAATAATATTACTTTGCACTGTAAGTTCCATAAGAAGTCATATAAAAAATCTTAACAACAAAAGAAAAAAATCAGAACATTTACACTTTTACAGCGCTTAATAAACACAGTATTTTTTTCCATAAGCTTATAATATATTATATAAGCTGTTATTTTTCACGATCTTCGCGCATATATTTAAAATGAAAAAAAAATACAACATTTGCCAAAATGTATAATAACATAAAATGAATACAAAAATTCTGTTTGTTTAATAGACAACAGTACCGCCAAATATCCACCGGTAACATATGTTCATTTCGCAGAGTAAAATCAACTTAGCAAAATATACCTGTTCTTGAGATTGCCGGAGATAGACCCAGCCGGGGTCGTTTTCGTAGTCCATCGCCGGTTCCACTACCTACTGCTTGAAGTCAACAAGTAACTCCGGCAGCCGAAACTAAACAAATCAATTTTTATCAAACATTTGTCTGCTTCTTTTTTGTTTTTTTTTTTTGTTTTTTTTTAATAGAAACTTGGTATCGAACAAAAAACGACGATGAAGACGACAGCAACAAGAAAGCAATTATTATCCATCTGAAAAAGATATTTAATAACCGTTACGACAGATATTTTCCTAGGCAATCCATTGATTACAGCATTTTCGACTTAAGATGTTACTACAGACTACGCAGTTATGTAACTATAATAAGTGAAAAATATGTATTATTACAAGTATGTAAAAATTTAGAGATTTACTGAACAAAAAAAGAATACATTTAGAGCACTAAAAGTCGTCTTTTTTTTTCTCATTAAAATTACTGGTACTCTGTGCAAGAAAATGAAAAAGTAATAATAATAAACAGATGATTAATGATAACAAAAAAAGAAATAGTTAAAAGTTTCTTTCCTATTTTTAAACTTTTACTCAGCTGAAAACTTACAGCAATTCAGGTTGGAAGCAGTAAGGAATTGTTACAAGAGAAAAGAAGTATAAAATTACTTTGCAAAATACTGAATAAAATATAGCCACCAACAACAGCAATAGGACATGTTGTTTAAGAAACTGTGTGCTAGCGCAGTCTTAAGATCCGGGTATATCTGTTGTTTGGGTGGATTTTTATGTACACCGAAAACTACAAAAGCAACATTTTAGTGCTAACTATTCAATTGTCTCCTAAACATCATTGTATCAACTTGCTTTTTTACTGCACCCTTCGTACACTCACTAACTCACACACATTCATCCACACAGACATACACTTACATATATACACACACACACTCACTTACACAATGATGTGGGTGTTTTCAGATGTCAGAACCATTTCGCCCACGAAAAAAATTTTTTTCCTTTCCACATTGACTTTGACGTTCACCGTCGTCTTCACACAGTCATCCAACAGTATGTTTGTTTTTTAAAGCTTTTATCACGAGGAAAAAAATTTTGTTGCTTTTTCTTTTCTGTCTTTCTTATGTTGGCAATGCTAAAATAAATTTTTTCTAATGTCACTGCACTAAACAGTTTGCCAACTTTGTCATTTCAAATGTGACTGCAAATCTGCTGACCATTAGAAACAATGATAAAGTTTAAATACTATCTCTGTACAAAGGTGACAATGAACAATTTATTTAATGTTTTATAGAACAGCATAAACATCTAAAATTCAAGCAAAAAAAAAAAAAAAAAGACTATTTAAGGGTCAAAAAGACATGCAAAATATGCGTTCAAAAAAACAAAGCAGGAATACACTATACTTAATAATTTTATGTAGGGGATTTCCAAAATGATCGCATTATAATATTTAACGGTATACTAATTGCAGAATCTCATAGGAAATTGTACTTTTTGAAAAGCCCATTTATCGTACACCCTAAGAAAGATAATAAACTACTGACAAGAGTATGTGGCCAAAAAATTAAGGCTATCACAAAGAGTAAAAGTGCAAAATACTGTTTTTAGATAAAATTGCAGAAGAAAATTAGCACTTTTTTTTGTTCAAAAGCAAGAATTTTCTTACAAATTCAAGTATACACCAAGGAAAACTCATCAAAGCATTTTGTTACCAGGCATCGGTTACTGTGAGAAAATTCTTAACTGAATAACCACCAATATGCACAAAATACCACTTTCAAATTTCAGAATAACTTGTTCCACCTATGAATGCAGAAACGGTTTAGAGTGGTGTAACTTTCTAAACCAATATTTGCCCAAAAAAATCAACTTAGAAAGTAAATAATGTTTTTGCCATCACTGTAATTTTTTCGTATTTTTGTTTGGAAAAAATGAGAAGGAGAAGCCAAAACAATTGATAATGCATTGTAAAAAAAATACGATTCTAAACACTGTTAACAACCCATTAATACGGTATCAGTGCTACGCAACATCTCTCAGTTTTGCTTCCGTATTATTCACTTTGCAAAAGAGCTTTTTTTTAACAAGGTAAGAGGAAAACGAAGGTTATATTACATTATACATTATGCCTTTTTTCCAGTACCTAAAAATATTTTCTGGCACTAAACTAAATCACTTCTAACTATCCTCAATTCATAATAAACAATAATGTGAAAAAAAGCAAGCAATTGAGTAATGGGATAACAGACGAATGTGGTACATATAATCGACTGACTTAAGCATCCCTTCAAGTATTATAAATAGTCTTTTGAGCATTAGAATTTAAGTAGTGTTATACTGAAAAACTAAAACAGATATACTGTGATCATATTACTTTATTCAGTGAGCAATTCATTGAACAGGTATTTGATTTTTAAGAAAGTTTCTAAAGAGTACAAGTTGAAGAGAGTGAGGAAAATGTGGTAAGGGAAGAAGAGGAAGAAAGTAGAAGGAAGAAAAAGAAAAACAAAAAAACATTTATCTTCCAGCTAATAAGTGGCTAGTGTAGTTCGTGAACCAAGATTGTGAAAACAAGCCGTTGCCGGTGCTTCGCAAAATAGCTGCCTTTGAAAAATAAACGTCGAGCTATTTTAACCGACGAACAAGATAATCGAGAAAAAAAAA